CACGGTGACACTTGTATGACCTGACGCTCCCAACCACCCGACTTCCCGGTCTCACTTTGGCATTTTCAACAAGTGGAAGCTGCTTAGGGCACATTCGAGCTGAAATACGATGATAAGCATGGCTAGATACCATCTGACATTTTCCAAATGGACGCATGTATATTGTCACAGAATTGTTCGAATAACATTGAGACATGCGAGTCGATACAGAAGTAATCCAGCACTAACTGACCTTGTCACACATCTCTTTTTTAAACTTGAGACTGAAAATAATGTACTGTCACCTTTGGGTGGGTGAGTGAGTGAGTGTGAGTGTGAGAGTGAGTGAGTGTGAGAGTGAGTGAGTGTGAGAGTGTGAGTGAGTGTGAGTGAGTGAGAGAGAGAAAGTATGTGTGTGTGTGTGTGTGTGTAATACATATAGTGCTACAGAGTGTTTCAGTTACTACATTAACGACCTGAAGAAGGTGGTACAGAATTTACCTGCTGAAAACGTTTGCCAAATATATTCATATCTAAAAGAAGATGAGGATGAAATACGTTTAGCAAACGTTTTTGAGCATGTACATTCTGTACCTGCTTCTTCAGGCCGCTTATGCAGTAACTGACACAGGCTGTAATACTATGACGTCACATCGGAACCATTGACATCATAATGCGTATTGCAACAGAGGTATGCACACAAAATCATTTTTTGCCATTCAATTTTGGTGTATATTTATGAATAAAATATGATTCTTTCAAGAGTAAAACATTATCATTGCTATGATTCAGTTTCTCTATCATGAGACATGGTGTATGACGGACAGACATTTCTAGTGAGATTTCGTACCGTTCGAAATATGTGAAAACAGTCTCGACATTTGCATCATGTTCGATCCCTGTTGAAACAGTTGAGACATGGGCGTATATATTTCCATCAATTTGAAACCCTGTATAAAACATTCTACATAAAATCTTTATACTAAAGCATCATACATGGAAATACTGCATGTTATGACCACACATTCCGAACATTTTCCATAGGTGATAATCTATGGACATAGAATTCATCAATTCCAAACCATATTTCAAACCCGATGGAATATATTAAAATGCAGTATTTTCATGCAGTGTCAAGCATGTGATAAGTGTACAGCTCACTCTCTCCTCCCGTTGCTTCTGATAATACTGACCAGAACATTTCAGTGCAACACGACTCCAGGTGAGGTTTCCAAGGCATGTTGTATTTGCAGTGACGTCATGAACAATTTTGCCATAGTAACCTTGGTGACACGTGTACGTGCGAATACTGCCAACAAGCTGACTTCCGTCACTGACCTTGGCGTTTTTGACAAATGAAAGTTGTCTTGGACATTTCAGAACTGGAACAGAAATATGTAAAGAAATAAAGAATACACAGCTTCATAGTAGAATCCAGTTCATCTTCACATAGTAGCGTGAATATATATTTACTGGATACATACGACTATGCAATGAGAACCTTCGAGATCAACGTGACTCCAAGTAAGGTTTCCAAGGCACGCGGTGTTAGATATCACCTCAATTAGGGGATAACTGTACTGTGTTTGACGGAATTGGGGACGTATACCGGTGGTTATATAGCTGCAAATTTAGTTATATCGGCGACGCGCAGTACAGTTATCCCCATTCTAATTCAACTCGTTTTTTCGCTGTTTTTTTCGTGAAAGAAATTCATTATTTAAACCAGGTCAAAGTTCCTCTAGGTCAAAGGTTAATCATATCACTCCTTGAACTTACACCATCGCCAGAAAAAGAAGTTCCCTTTTAAAACTACACACGTTTATTATGTGCACACGGACTAAATCTGACAATGATGAATAGATCATATTATTATAGCTAAAATTATGACGTAATTTTGATGAAACTGCCCTCTAGTTACAGAAATGAGCGGCCCGCTGATTCCTCAACTATGGGCCATTATCAGTTCTGTTGTCAAATGACACAGCGGTGACGTCACGCTCCATAATGACGTCATGAATCTTGTTTCATGATCTAACAGTGTTGGGTCAACAGCCCGTTGCGAGTAAGTTGTTTCAATTTAAAATTAAATTTATGATACTGTTTTGTCTTTTTGAACACAAATTCCATCCATTTTAGCTGGACAGGAGAGTTAATTGACCTATGGCATCTGCAAATGACAATGTCCTGCAAAGGAGCGTTATCCCAATAGTTTAGGGATAAATTCAAAGTTTTTGGTGAATCGGTTTTCAAATTATATGGTCGGAATTTTACAGCATTTACCAATCAGAACTCATGTTACATAATAAGTTGAATTAGAATGGAAGATATATCAGGGTAACCTTGATGACACGAGTACGTTCGAATACTCCCAACAAGCCGACGTCCGTCAGTGACCTTGGCATTTTTGAGAGACGAGGGCTGACTAGGACAACTGGGTCTTATTGGTTTATTTGCTGGAAAAGTAACGTTGATCATTACACACATACAGACTGATTTTTTTTCAGTATACATACTTGAAACAGGACGTTTAGCATTGTATAAAATCTTCGAGCATGAGTATGTGACGGATAAATCAAAACCCGACATTGAACGAATTTGAAATTCCTTCCAACGAATAAGTGATCCAGACATACCAAAGAAGCGCTATATGTCACTGTGTACGTTAACATCTATATAGCTTATGTTTTTGAAATCCACTCCTAACACAAGCCCCCCAAACTCCCAAGTCATCATTATCTTGTCGCATTATTCAGAATATCCTTCAGTTAAATAGGAATATCTGGCATTTAATATACTTTAGACCGCCGGCTTACATCTGTGATATCGCTGGTTGAAAAAATCAACTTTTGCACACAGTAAAACAAAGCATAGCCCAGGTCTGAAGGAGGAACTTATGAATTATTATTAAACCTGTACACATGAAACAATAAACACCGAGATATCCATACAGTGTGAACATGTATACAGTGAATCACCGTCAATCAAACCACATTATTGGCCAGTGAGAAAGTCAGGCGGTGTAGAACCTATTCGACTTGCCAAATATTACTCACAGAGAATAAGCGTGGCCATATTGTATTTTTATTGTTTATTTTACTGTTCAATGCCATGTCCATGAAAAATGTATCTGTCACAGGGAGATCTAGTACCTTCAATTGAAACAATTTCTATTTTGAAATGGTGTATGGATGTTTCTGTTTCTAGTACTGGAGTACTAGTGGTTATGTAATTACCACTGTAAAGTATGTTACTTGACATCTCAGTTGCCGGTATGGTGTAGAAATAATACCAGGTCTTAATTTAGGTGGATGAGTGGTCTTGTGGTTTAGTCGGAATAATTTACTGTAAAGTTGTACCCTTTAGTATGAAAGCTAGGGACGGTTCGAATTTAAGATTTCCGCTTCATTATGATTTTTTTCCACTTAAAGGGCAAGTGTACACGAAAAAATCATTTTGTTTCTTACATGAATCAAAATTCAGTTTTAGAATTATTACTTATTCATTTTGGATATATGCACTCATCTTTTCATATTAATAGTTTGAACCTGAAAATACGTGTGAAAATGGTGCGCCGTTATGAAGCATTCGATTTCAGAGCGAAACAGGCCTGAGTTACCCCCTTAGATATGACGTAATTGGTGTCACTCTAACTGGTAGCTTGTCTTAATCTGACGTGAAAGACATCCAGTACCAGTTTACTGTCACAAACAACATGGCCTCGGATTCGTCGTCTGATTGCGAAGAATTTTCACTGAATCAAGAAAAACGTCCAACCATATTCCTTTGAACCGACAAGGGCTAATTTCCCAGACTTCAAAGTAAAGACGAGATACGATCAAGTGCATGATGTGGAACCCAGTGAAGACCTTTGTCTTCAAACATTGTGTCGTCAAGCGCAGAGTCCGATTCATCGAGACCACCGTGGTAAGATCATAATATTACTTCTATCTAAATAATGTACATTTCAAAATATAAACTTATTTGTAGTGATGCTTGCTATGCCTGATAACCAGCACTCTTCGTTTGCTTTTCGCTCTGGTCCATCCCCCGTCACAGTGTCAGTGTCATCAAATATGCTTGTCCAAACAATAATTGAAGATAACACTTACATCTAACTTCACAGGGAGTTTTCACTAGATTGTAGTATTATTGTCGTTTTCCTTGAGTAAAGTTCGCTTTATCTTCCCCAAACACGTACGTAGTTCTGGGTTCGTTTCCAACAACGCAGTCATTACCGTGGGCACGTAATACCGGAAATATGTTTACAACGTTGACAAATCAGACAAATAAATACTCTTGTATTATGTGAACACCATGTCTGATTATAAAGAATATGCATTGTATATGTTGCTTTGTGTTTGCAATGTGTTTTCATAATTTGGTGGTTACATTAATTTCTGTGAAATCGGGTGTGTGAAACCGCAGCACATCAATTTTCCGGTTTACCGTGTTTTCTAACCAAAACCAGGATCAAAGAACGACAGTGAACGAACTTTAGTTTACAGATAATGTATATTTTTTCCATATCTACTATCACTGATTAAAAACAAGTTGCTACATCCAGTATACGTTATCGACATCTTATCTGAGTAACACGAAAATAGGGACACTGCACTGACAGTGACATGTTTTGTTTGTAAACCGGTACATTCATTGATCAATGGTTATAAGTTTTTCTGACCTTTGACTGTTAATGAGAAAAATTGTAGTAGCTCTTGGAAACTGTTGAAAAAGTTCTTCATTCAAATATGTTATGATATGATATGAAACACACACACACACATACAATAAATATAAATGCAAATATGAATTTATACTGCAGGAAAAAACGGCTTCTTCATGAGTATACAAGTCAATTGATTTTTCAAAGTAAAATTACTACTCATTCGATAATGTTACAGGTGCACTTGTGGTCACTGCGTTCACATGCAGTCTGAAGTAGAGGAGCTATGTTGTCAGGATGTTGCTCCAATCAGGGAAAAGCTTGATACATCAAATCACAACTGCATTACTTCTCACCCCTGGCCTCCATGACGTATCACTGAGCAAGTATAGTATGGAGGCATACTACAATGAATTCATTGACAGCAGTGGCCCCATAGGTGATGATGAACCAATACACAAGTAATATACCGAAATATGCTTATAATTTCTAAAATTATTATTTGCATTACTAAAACAAGATACAGACCATGTATTTGTAGATGAATTTGAAAAGAGCAATATTTTTCCATTTCCATAATATTGTATATCCAGAGAAATGATACAAGAAAAGTAGTACCTCATAAGCCTTATACAGGTAAATCATGCTATGCTTTTGTTACTGGAGCCTTCATTTAACTGTTTTAGTGTATTAATAATTTGAACGCCCCATTTATTTCTCATAATAGGTTCTAACTCATGGGAAATGTGAATATCCTGAAGACAGATTACTGAGCAATTCCTTTCCGCCAGATGTTCATAATTTCTTTCCGTTTCTGTTTTTCGGCAATGGCCCTACAGTTAACAGAGGCTATTTTAATATTACTACTCATTAAAATCATGTAATTGGTACATAGTTAAATGGATGTAAGTTGAGATGAGATGACCTGATATGCTGGATTTTGCAATATAAGAAAAAAACAGGAAAGTAAACAAGTGTATAAAAGCAACAATTGCTACCGGATTGGTGTACCAAACCATCTGAGGATGTGTAGTACTGGATGAAAATATGCCCTACACAATAGACCTAGTTGGAAGATCAACCCTACACAATAATCACAGGCCCTCGTGTCTTTGCGAGGATTAAAGATGTTAAAAAACATAAAACATTTGAGGTGACCCCGACTTGAAATGCTTCACAGTACAATATAATTTGACCTGTTGTTAATGTAATGAATGAAGTTATTGATGAACTTTATCCCTCTTGTCATCTACCATATTTTCTTCCTCCAAAGTGACACCACCCTCTCATCAGACATGACACTATCAAACAGACACATTCTTGAAATACACAAAAACCTCCCCACTAACTAGAACCATAAACCCCATACTCTTTATCCAAATGGATGTAGTATTTCTCGAAATTTTAAAAAGTTCAGCATGTTGAAATGAAGACAATGTATGTGTACTTAAAATCATATTCATATTTTTCAGAATCTATCGACATCTGGCCTACAGAAGATTTACATACTGGATTTGGCAGAAATTGGGAAAAAATCATCGCAAGGTGATTCCTTCTTGTGTTGTCCATGTTATACGTGCAACATTTCCATCAGATGTATATACTGGATTTCTTTATTCTCACTAGAATAAATATTGTTTTAATGGAAACGTGTTTTATGGTTTCTGACAACGATTTGTTTTTCCCGTTTCTTTCCGTGAGTTTCAGTCATGCAGGGTGGCTGATGTTCATTTAGGGAGTTGTCAGCAAGGGCACAACTTGGAAATTCTGTTCGAATGTCGGACACCTCCTGTAACAGCTCGCCAATATATTCTGAAAAAGTAAATACCAAATATACATTACCGGCTACATGTCGTCATTGTCATAAAAGAAAAAGTCCATCATTGCGCATTATATCTGTGTATAATAGCAAAAGTTGAACAATGTCATGAAAGTTGCATATCACTAATATCATACCATATGTTGGATTTGTTTTGATAGGTTTAGCAGTAGCCTCCCAGTTTCTGCTCTTAGGATATGAGACACTCCATTTCTCTTCTCCTGTGTTTTGGTGTGTGCTTTCAGTCGTGTTCCATTCTCATTGAAGTGGAGGGCAGACATCAACAACCTGTTACAATATTATTATTGTTAAAACAGTAATTTCACCACTGACTGTTTTATATGATGGCATACACAAAATATAACTGTAGTTAACAATAAAAGAAATTCAAAATTCTGATTGCAGGACCGAGACCATGGTATGCTCTATTATTGTCTCTGAGTGGGTTACTAAAATAAGTAAATCCTATCAAAAATGTGAGGCAAACTGGTTATGGCTAATTGTTATCCAGTGAAAAAACAATTGAACAGTTTTCTTTGATAGTAAGTTGGTACATACCTTGCCTTCATACCATTGTAATGATAATGGTAGAACTTTGGAGCGAAGTGACATATGACACTATGAAATCCTTCAAGGTATGATGTCTGCCCATGAGGTGACAGTTTGGCTACATCTTTCAGGAGATATCTGGACTTTAAGATGCTTTCTATCTCCTTGTGAGCTCGTGTTCCTGAAGAATAAATTCATGTTTTAATATATTTTATAAAATGAATGCCATTTTTGTCTTCATTATCAGTGATGAACATGTCTAATCACAGAGCCATATTTGATTTTGTGAGTGGTCAGTTGTACTCAGGGAGCTGACTGAGTGGGCGAGATCAAGAAAATGGAAAGATGGGTGTGGGTTTGTAACAAACCAATGATGATGCTTAGTGTGATAATCATTACAATTTTTACAAAAAACTTCAAGTTTGAATGTCAGGCTGCATATGAAAATGTAATATCATACATTATGAAGTTGCTTGGTTAATTTTACATACCAGCAGGAATCCAAATTCTATCTTGAATTTCTCCATGCATACAAGATGGAAAGGTTTCACTGTGACCACTATGTATGTTAGCTAAGTGGTTGCCAATCGACAACCACTTAGCCAAGCACCTCCTCAGCATTGCCATGGCTGGTGGCAGCACACCAGTACATATGATTGGAAATGGGTGTGCCCACAGGCTGATTATTTCCAGGCCTTTCTTCTTGCTTACATTTTGAAGTTTCTTGTAAATACCTGAAAACATCAAATGCGGCTGGTACAATGGATCATCACTTGTTAGAAAAAGTTATTGAAGTAAACTTACCTCGGAGTGTGTTTGTTAAGGTTAAGGTGATTTAATATATTTGTCGAATAATATTTAATTTATATTCCACTTTCTGAAAAGCATTTTCATGCCATAACTGTGTCAATGACACTAAATATTAAGTCTAATCACGATATGATGGGTCTTAAAAACTATTCACCTTTAGCAACATGCCATACATCAAACCAATGTTTAATGCCACCTTTCTCCCTCTTTATATAAGCTTTTACTTGAATGTGTCGGTCTGTTATTATGTCTGAAACATTTACTCTGGCATTCTCAAGATGTGCAAGGCCCCTTTTCAATCCTTCAAGTTCCATGGCATTCGAATTGGCCACTTCATTTGACTGAAACAGAGCAATGTAAATTAAGTCATTAAGTCATCAGAAAGTATTACTGTACACAACTGAGCATGTTCACTCTTATGCTGTGCATGTCATTTTATGTTATGACAGGATTGTATTCTTACCTGCACCAACTGGATGTCCAAAACTTGATGTGTGTCCACATCGATCAATGTATAGCTTCCATACTTAGCTGTAATACATAAACACATACATACTATATACAATTGACACAACGTTTCTTCCAAGACATGCTCATGTTAAATATATCAAATACAGTGAAACATTTCTATTTCATAATGGTTTTCAGCCAATTCTTCTTACTATTCCCAGTTACACATGAAATTTATAAGCCAAATAACTTATTGAAGCCAAACTAGTGTGGACATACCTGTATGTCCAGGTGAGCAACACCTTGCATCCCCTGCCAGACGTACAGATTTCTCTTTCCTATCAGCTAATAGCTGAGTTTGGTGTTTTGACCACACCCTTGAAATAGCTGGGACTATGTAGCTTCTCTGGAGTTTATGAAATGTTGACATGCTTATATTGTACATGTTCATAGTTGAATAGCTCCTTAGAGCCTTTGCTGGGCAAAGACTACTAAAGAAAACAGCACAAGCTATGGCTAAATTGCCAAGTGGCAATTGTTTATTGTGATGGCTGACTATTCCAGAAGTATGCATGCTCTTGGTGTCTGAGGCACTGTACCTGCACTGTCACCAGACTACCACAGATATGATAAATTTTGGCTCTGCATGAATAAAAGCAGAATTTGCAAAACATGAAAAGTGACAGCAAATTGATTCAAACACCAGGAACTTTGTTTCTTCCATATGGTTGTTCAGGGACCTGAAATGTGAATTAACAACTGTCAAAATCACATAGAAAATTGTACATGTTACATCAGTGCGATCACAATTATTACACGTTATATGGCAGATATGACATAAATTGGGAATTGGCACATTTAATACAGACTCTGGCTGGGATTGAGATTCTTCGAACTTGATCTGACTTGAATGTGGATTGTAATCTTCATCAGTGTCATTTCCATCATCAGTTGTGTCAGGCATATTGTTCTTGCTGTCAGCATCACCTGGTGCCTGGGTAACAATGTGATCAATTTGCATAAATAGTATTAGGGCTGTAAGTGCATACACTAATGCTCAGTTACTACCAGATATTTACATCAAAATCAATTCTGTTACAATATCACTAAAACATAACATAATGTACATGTTTCAATACAGAACAATATTTACTGGATGTAGATTTTGAATGAGTAGTTATTGTAAACATGTTATTGTTACCTCATATTGTGTAGCACGGTCGCATGTATCTGGTGTACACTGGACAGCAATTGTGCACCCAAGATGTGTTCATGCTCTTCTGGGTACCAGTCGACATCAAGGAGGGTGTCACACACTGACAGGACTTACTCCGACACTACACATTTGGAAGATACAAAAACAAACATTCAAAAATTGTAAAAATATGCAAAATAATTTTCATTAATTAAAATTTGTCAGTAAGTGTTGTCTTATTACCCTAACTTTTCTGTATTTTTAAAAGCACGGTCTATAAGGAAAGTCAGATTTAAATATTGTATTAATTAACATGCGAAATAACATACAGGTAATTTTGTTCTTTTTATTTTATATCTTTATTAATGTTCTTACCGAAATGAGTTGGTTTGTGTCTGTTCCCACGTCAACTGTCTCAGTAGTAGAAGATGTACGTGAGTGGATGTTGACAGCTTCGTTTTCCTCCACACTGACTGCCCTCCGGCATCGAGGGGAACTGGTATTGGTAAACACTACCCCCAGTCGTGAATGAGAACGGCTACAAATTTCAAAGAAAAGCATTCGATGACGTTATTCACACCCCTAAAAAAATTCCACAAAATGGTTCCGATTCAAAATCACAAAACCAAGCACAATACTTTAGCTCAACGATCAGCTGATCACCGAGGATCGATGTCATTTGAAACCAGGAAGTGAACGAGACGCACATCTAATTAGCTACCGAAACTATGAATAAATACTTATTTTATTTTATATATATAAACTACAGTCTTATAAACTAGGGTAGCATGTTTACATTATTTTGGTATTTACTTACTTACCAGAGTTCCCTCGACTTTACGTCGTTTGTTTACAAAACTGACCAGTCGGGCTCTTGATGAGAGTGCTGTCCCTTGACCTCATTACCATACAAGGATGGAACCGCATCGGGGCGTAGTTGTTTCCGATCAGCTGACTGACTGAGAGTCGTCGATCGCGACACACGACAGCAAATATCGAAGTGCGACACACACCCGCGATTCACTAGTCGGGCCATTCCAGTCACTATCCTTCTTTTTACAGAATTTTATCCATTCTTGTCTTCTCCGTGGTGATTTGGGAAGCGGAAATAACTTACTTTGGTTTCATGTTTGTTTGCATTGTGGTTCATACAGCGAGGAACCGAACAGTGCACCATGTTCAATTCAATAGTATGCGCATCTGAGACGCTGGAATCAAACACTTGTGCTTGCACTACGTGAAGCGGTTCCATACAACCTGATGACGTCATTTGTTTATAAATGTGGCACCAATTACGTCATTTCCAAGGACATAAGCCATGGTGTTTTTTACTATTGAAATGGAACACTTGGTAAATGTGTAAAAATAAAAAATCGTTTTCCTACAAAAAATATATAGTTAATTTTATAATTTTACTGTTTTTGTCTTTAAAAGTACCAAGTAAATAATTTTCATATTAAAAAAGAGCAAGAAAAATAGGTTCCATTTTCGTACACTGCCCCTTGGTTAGTCTCAAGGATGCCCCCAGAGTAGACTTGGGGAATGGGCAAAATTTGTCGAAAGTGGAGTAGTGACTTGATTGTTCGTTGACAAACGTGGAAATATTACCTTTTATCTTACCTTCATGTTAAAATACTTTACTTTCATTGGTCAACGACCTTTAATAGAGTGTCCGTGCCACCCTCCTGTGAGGGTGACAAACTGGAAAAATATTACCCACTACCACGGTAACCGCCAAGTACTCTCCGCCGAGAAGCCGAAGCGCTAATAATCGGTATGACGTCATAATGCATGACGCATGCTGTGCGGACTTCGAAAACCGTTCGATCAGCTGTGTTTTATGTTCACTTTGTACACCCAGTTACTAAGGGCTGAATGGTAGAGTTACGCATGCGAGCATAACGTTCCACGTCTTTTGTCTGGTAGATATTGTATGCGGGCTTTGTCTGAACGTCGTAACGAAGACTGACCCTGACTGACTGGAAGGTTTGGGTTTACGCCCGCTTTGAAACCAACATTCCCAGCAACATCTTACGGCAGAGGGACGTACCAAGAAATGGCTTAGCCACATTTATTGCCCACATTGGGATTCGAACCCGGGTCTTCAGCGCGACGGCGTCAACGCTTTAACCATTAAAATTTTAACCGCCCCATATAACGAAGGCAACATAGTTATGTAACCCTTCAGCGTTGTATATATATTGTTAACGGACGATCCGAAAGGTAATGTCGAAGGACAAAATACTTCCTCGAAATGTAAACATGGAGTTACGATGGAAGGTGCGAGCTGATACAAGCTGCAGATGTAATATGTGCATGTGAATGTTTGACAGCCTTACGAAGATAAATGTGGCTATATGTCAATTTGTTTCTGACCAAATTCATACGTCAGCCTAATAGCATTACAAAATTGAGCATATTTTTCCATCAACAGAAACTCCTGAGATGTACCGTTAGCAGCGATGGGGACACTAACGCTCTTGATGACCCAATGACACGACCCCGCTACTCAGTGAATGTGACCGACTACTATTGATTTCCGAACTAACTGACGCGGAGTCTTATTACTGGTGCTGTATCTTGGAGACCTTTGAAGGTGAGACCACAACGTCAGTGACGTCCGCTTCCGACGTTATTAACGACAAATCCAATTATAAACCTTTCAAGAGTCTTGGCGACGTCAGAGTGGGTTAACGCGATGTGACGACACCTAGTTATAATCTATGACTGTCGTGGAGTTCAAAAGGTTGTTAAAAGTGGTAAAACCTGGTTGGTGTCATTGGTTATTCGCGTTTAAAATGAGTACTTGAGATCATTTTATTTTCTCTATTTATATTCTTGGTATTAATGCAGTAATGCTTCCCTGATGAATTATATTTCCTCTTCAGATTCTATGTTTATTTCTCATTCCATTTCATTCATTCATTCATTTCGAACTTCGATTCATTCATTCGATTTCATTTTAAAACTTTCTTTTCATTACATTTGATAGTATTATTCATCTGCGCAACCAGGTCCCACCACGGTGCAACATCGCAGCGACTCAGACACCAACGCTCTAGAACTTGGAACAAATCTCAACCCTGACACTGGACTCAGAGGGTACTACTTTGTTCTCAACAAGCTGGGTTTGATGTCACAACTGGCAGCGTCCACAGACGTGCTTTGTTGTTACAGAACCAGACATCGAACAACATCACGGACGCATCCAGCACCGCTCTTCAACGTCACATCTGACCGCTTTGGAGACGGTGGTGTCACATTCAGATGTGACAACAACCGAAGAACACTCTCTTGCGGCGGAGTTTAAACTCACGGGTTGATTATCTATCGTAATACTATCAATGTAAGATGTTGCCTCTGAGGGGAAAATCATTTAAAGAACCATCGAGGCATAATTCTGACGATTTTAAAGGGAATTGATACTCTTTGTGCAAAGGTTGATTGATGTAAGGCAACATTCAACATTATTACTTCAAATTAATGTAACGAATTTCGAAATCGGACGCCTCAGTCACAAATGTAGAGTCTGATATTATTATCTTCAACGACAATATTTATTCAAATCGTGGACAAGAGCAATGGCTGCATAAAACATGCTGATAAACAATAAGGCTCTAGGTGCCACCAGAAGAGACGATAAAGGCGCGATGATGAATTTGGCCTCCATTCTAATTGATATTATATTACTTTAACGTCCAGAGACATTGCTTGATGGTGTATTATCTCAATCCTTTTTGGGGAAATCGACCTAAAATGCTTTTCACTCCCACCCTGTCACCATCGTGATTGCAGCCGGTTTCACAAATATTCTCAACTAAAAGGATACAATGTGTTTGGCTGTAGCTGCTACAACAACTACAACACCTGGGTCGACGGGTAGGTACTACTGTCCTCAACACAACTTTCACAATTACCTTAACATCCCGATCTATCTGTTTTCTGGGTAACCTGAATATTTGCTTTGTACAGAGAAATAAAGAATAAGCATGTTTTTCAAACGTTTATTCTTCCATGTCGACAGCTAATGCCTTCACACGTTCTGGGTGTCTCAAAGTTTGGATAGGGACGTGTCTCCGTCGTGGGAGAAAAAAAAACTGGTGGGTCAAGTTGAATTTTAGTTTTAAAATGTATCAATGTATTTTTGACTTTGGCTGGTAATTAAAGCATGCTTGATATAAAGTAATCCAGACCTTGATGGCTCCCCGTGAAGAATTATTTATGCCTATAAATATCTCATATCTTGAAACTTCATTTGAAACAAAACCGTAATATTTTCAATGTCGCATGGCGTGATTGCACTCTGGAAAATACCATACAATTGGCTATTCCTCAAACTTAAAATACATTTCTTGAAGCTGTTTTCTTAAGGAAAACCTTTGAATTAATTTAGTTTTATTTCTGTTGAAACATGTTTCTATTACAAAGGAATTACAACGCATTGTTTTAGCATACTTCTCAATCACGCTTTGTTGAAATGCGTCAAGAATCCTTTCAAGATATGACACAGTGTCGTTTTGGTTGAGGGAACTTGTTACGCGCGAGTAGTGCTTTCGTATTTCCATTTTTTTCTATTTAGAAACAAATTACCAACAATTCTAACGGCAGCATGCAAAACCAAGCTCATCATCGCCATCGCCATCGCCATCACGCCATCGCCATCGCCATAACATCGCCATCGCCAGCTCATCTGAAGGGGTCGACGGCACCCAAAGGTACCACTTCTACTACTGAATCATCGCCAACGAGACCACCTCTGGGACACTATGGGACTACCAGTGTGTTTGTGTTCTTGCTTATTGTTATTTAAATGCATTCCTCCAAAGGGAAAAGGCTGAAACAAATTGGAAAGTACATGTCATCATCAGGAAGCCGTGGTTCTCATAATACAAACAAAGGAGGTCAAAAATGAGTTTGTCAAAACCGACCCCAAACAACAAAGGATTATTTGGTTGAGGCCCTGAGCTGCCAACAGTGAGTGTACTTTCAGACTGTCTTCCACACACTGGTGCCTTCACGATAACTGAAATAATTTTCATAAGCATATTTCTTCGACTTAGTCAC